TGCTCGAGGTGTGAGAGCTCGACTTCAATCTCGAGATGATCACACTACACCATTACTAGTGGAAGCTCGTTAATTACTGTCTCGCAATCTGGATATCTGTGCCTGTGACAATACGTTATACTCGCTCTTGAAAGGAGCTTAATATCGCATAGAGAAGGATGAATAGGCGTTACTTGAAATCATTAGCATCGAAGTCAAATCTACTGAAATTACAAGTCGTAAGCACGGGAACTTCAGGTCCACTTTCGTTGTTTTCAGACAGAGAAAGCAGTCTTGAACCTCAGTTACTTGAGACCGGAAGTTTTAGTCCCCTGAGATTGTTTCTATCTTTTTTCACTCAAAATGCCCTTAGGGTTGGATACGCTGATTTTATTGTTTGAAAAAAATATTCTAGAGGTTTTTATTGCATATGCTTAAATCTTATTATTGTACCTCGAAGGGCAAAATAAAAACGTCACCGTTAGTAACTGTAGTGGAGAAGTATCACCTAGAAAATTGATCAAAGTGAAAAGGCAAATAAACGGAGGGAGTAATACTAGTATATGCTTATGCTGCCCTCACTAATTAGTACTCCCTCCATACTCACAAAGGAAGTCGTTTAGGACATCGATACGGTCTACAAAATACAACTTTGACTTATTGTTTCTATAAAAATATTCATTGAAAGGTGATATATGTATACTTTTATGAAAGTATTTTTCAAGACAAATCTATTCATATAATTTTTACATATTCAAACTTAACAACTTGAGAGTTATTCATGATTTATATTCACAAGGTTTGACTTAAACATTGTCCTAAACGACTTCCTTTGTGAGTACGGAGGGAGTATAGAATAATTCCAGTTCTCTATTCTCTCACCAAGCCAATCGTTTGATTCTTTTCCCTTTAAAAGTACTACATTTCGTAATATCTTTTTGTACGAAAAAAATATAAATTCAGGATTGGCTATGTTACAAATCTATCTATGTTTGTTCACTCCAAAGCCACATTGTATCGATTATTCGAAACCTTGGAAGGCCAGTTATACATATATTTAAATAGACGAGGAAAAAAAATTTATGCTACATTGAGGTCACGGTGTACAGGAGCCCATGACAAGAAAATTGTAGCCTGTCCTATTGTATTTTTGGCTGGATCTACCATTTTGGAGTTGTGCATGAGGTAGATTTTGTATGAGACCCGATTCCTTTGAATTTCCTTCTCTTCTCCTTAAGGGCTCAGTAGATTTTGGGGAAAAAACATAGAAATTTGGAGGATTACAATCCTATAAAAAAATTTCCATTCAAGCCTTTTGAAACAAAAGGACTTAATCCTATCCTATCATTTGAAATTCGTATGTAATGGATAATCCTATAGAGATTTTAAAGGAAATTTAGCAAAAACTTCAACCTCTTGGAAACTTTTCTTTGAGTCTATCCCTCTCATCCGATTCCCGCGTTTTTCCTACGATTCAATCAAACGGTCATTCATGTGTTTTTTCTGCGTTTTGCAATCCTCTGTTTTTCACCCGCATTCCTATTTAATCCAACATTTTTTCTCATTTCTCTGTTTTTTCATTCATATGATTCAAAGAGATCCTAACTTTGTTATCACATCAGGTGTTTATAGTTATTTTTATTTGACAAAGCAATAATTGTCATAGGCTGCTCATCTTGCATGGAGTATTGTGGGCTGATCTAAGGGCTTGTTTAGTTCCAAACTTTTTTTTGAAACTTTTAACTTTTTTATCACATCAAAACTTTTCTACATACATAAACTTCAAACTTTTCTATCACATCGTTCCAATTTCAACTAAGCTTTCAATTTTATCGTGAACTAAACACACCCTGATTCAGCGACTTCATCTATAAACACAGTGCGCAACTTTATCAGATCATCAGCACACTGTTGCCGTACCGCTTTGACGGTACACAGGGACTTTCAATGCGCTCCTGCTAGTAGGCCCGTTCGACACCGCACAGTGCCGGACTCGTCGCAGTCGCAACCGTCCAGCACCGCACCGTGGCATGTTATTCTGTGAACTGCACCCACCTTATTTCCCACAGGCGAGCCAGTGGCCCCGGCCGTGGACCACGCGACACAAGCACACAGGAGAGCGCGCAGACGCCGCGCCGTGGCGCTAGTACCGCGCCCACCGGCGCCGCGCACCGTGCAGCGCCTCCCACTAGCTACACCAGCTCGCGTACCGCGCGTATAGGCTCTGGCCCAGACTTCAGCTGCTGCTGGTGGCGGTGGTGGTACTCATCCTTGGCCGTAGCAACAACTCGTAGCATCCCATGGTGGTGATGGTTGCGTAGCGTTGCGCGCCCGGCTCGCAAGGTCCACACTATACTACCATCGAGCGCGCGGCGGTGTCACGCGCCACAACGTAACGAACGTACGCGCCCCGAAACGGAGCAGGGAGGTGTATTGATGGGACGTGTCAATTTAACCCACTGTGTGCAGCAGTAGTGATAGCATGAGCGAGTAGACGCACTGTAGGCTGGATCGGGCGCGTCATGCGTAAGTATGCAGAGGCAGGGCACGCATGTGGATGTGGGTGCGTGTGACCCGTCCGCCGGCTGGACAACTGTGCCCGGCATGGGAGCAGGCGATAAGGAAGGAACGGGGAATCGCACTGTTCCCACGGCCCGAGAGATCAGTACCGTAGCGTAGCATTAACGTGCGTGCACCAGCGCTACGTGTCTCTGGCGACGCGGGCCCTTCTTCTCGCTTAGCTGCACACGAATCTTGATCATGGCGACCTTACGCCTCGAACAGACGTGGTTGCAGTACGGAGACCATCCACCATGCTACGACTACTACTGTTCCCATTTACGCGCCCCGTACGAGCCATCCATCATATCGTAACATATTGATTGATACTGCGAGATCCATACGGCCGGGACGGATGGATGGGTGGCTGGGTGTGGCTCAGTGCTTTCCGAGGCTGCCCGGCAGGTCCGGCACCAGCAATGGTACTGCTGCTGCTGCTATCCATACTAGCGCTAGTCCTAACGCATCAGTGCTCTTATTAAGGATGGTGCGGCATTATGGGCGGGATCGCGACCGGTCGGGGGGGCCCTGCGATGCATGCATGCATGCACGCGATGCGATCAGCCACTTATGAGTGGAGAGGAGGAGCGCCGATACATGCACATTGAGTTGCGTGGACTCGATCCATTTTAATCGTCCACGGCTATGTAGTGCCCGTAGGAGCAGTTTTACCTGACGCGAGCAGCTGGCGCGCGCCTGGCGGTGGACGCATGTTGTGTGCAGTGCACGGCTGTTTAATGCCGCTTTCTGAGCTCGTGATTGTTGCGGCGGTGTCGCGGTAGGGCAGAGGAGGCCCGGGCCACCGGCCGCGCGCCCGACGCGCCCGGTGGCACGTACTGCTTCTACTGGTGGCCAGCCGGCGAGCGACAGTGGCCAGGAGGAGGCAGTACTACGTTCCCCGCCCTGCGGCCTGCCGCTCGTCACGCTGTTCCCGTTTGGCGACGTTAATGCGCGGGCGCGGTGGTGGCGGTGGTGTGGAGAGAGAGAGAGAGAGAGACGGTCATGTGTACAGGGTGGTGGCATCCGCGCGCGCCGAGCTGAACCAACCGCATCACGTGCGTGCGGTGCCACGGCCGTGGTCCATGACCTGCCCTGCCCGTCCGTCCGGCCTGAGCGAGCGCGATGGTGCAGCACGGTCGGTACGAGCCATCAAGCGTGCGAGGACAAACGAGACCGCACCGTGCGAGACGGACCAAAGAGGGCGCAGCCGCGCAGGGGGGCCGACGTAAATGACGCCGTACGCACGCATCCTGCCTGTGCCGGTGACCGAGGAAGCCTATGGTGACGGTTTTTATTAACCTCGGTGGTTGTAGTAGTAACAATATTTAAACGTCCGTACGACTCGCGGATCTTAAAAAGAAAGCCTCTCCAGTAAACAAACCGCCCGGTTGAAACGGAATCAAAAGGCCCCCTTGAGGGCTGTAGCGTAACCGTACGACGATAAAGTAGCGTGTAACCGTACATTGATAAAAGGAGTATCATTTGTGAGCCAACGCCCTTTGCTTCGGGGAGTAATGAGTTGATGTCACGTTGGTGCGGCCAAACTAGTCCAGATCCGGGTCCGGGGGGCCATCGTGATCACGCACTTGGCGTTTCGGGAGACGTATTCAAACCCGGGCGCCGAGCAAGCATGGACGATGCGGCCCGGCAATCAATGGTCTGCCCACGATGGATGAGATGGGTTAGGTTAGGTTGTGTGTGCGTGGGGACGTCTGCTGTGCTGTGCCTCTCGGCATCTCCTTGGCTTGGGCCGCTGAAACTGCATCGAATCTGGAGAAAAGAGAGTAATATACGGTTCCTATGCTTTAGTCCACTGCTCAAGTAGACAATCTTGCATTAATAATTGGTTCAGGTAAACACCAAACAATATAAAAATTTATAAATGCAGTGGTAGACTAGATCTTTCTGGGATGGCATGATTTCTTCCTAGGACGTCTAGTTTATCCCCACAATACACGTTGAACCGGATATAAATCGATCGGTTAGGACTTGGGTGGTTCATAAATTACCTCCCCCAACAGCCTAGGCGCTGAAGATAGCGAGCATAAATAAAGAAAAGCGGAAAATAGAGTAGCGTCAACCTCCCAGAGGCGAGTGGGCCACCTTTAATAGTACTCCACCGAGAGGGACCACCACCACCACCACAAGGCAGCGAGCAGCAGCAGCCCCACTCTCCACATCTCACGTCACACCGGACGAATCAATCACCACCCCCGCACCAGGCAACAAAAACCGAACAGGGAAAAAGAAAGGGAAAAGAGCCAAAAGATTTCCACCGTAAACGATGACCATTATTGAAGCCGAGGAAAAAAGAGAGAGAGAAAGCGATAGGCCAGAGTGGGGGCCATAGCCATCCATCCGTTGGGTTGCTTGCTGCTGCTTGCCTCCCCCACGTCCAAAATAAAACGAGGCAGACAGCTTTTGTCCCCTCGCAGGCCACCCCACCTCCCAACGTGTCTTCCATCCACGCCTCACCGCCGTATAAATATAACCCTCCCTCCCCCTAACCCATCTGCCTCCACGACTCCATCCGTTTTCCATTTCCACTCCTCCCCCCACCCAACTCACCATCGCCATTCCTTCCCTCCTTCCACCGCTCCCTCTCTCTTCCATGGCCGTGCAGGCGCAGTACCTCTCCCACGCCTCCTTCCCCCACGACCTCTATGGCCTCAGGTAAACGCTTCGTTCGATCGATCGACACCTCGGTTGGTTTTGATCGATGGCGTGGTCTGATATTGGTGTGGCCTGTGCAGGGCTCTGGAGGGTGCGACGGCGGCGGGTTCTTTGTTCTTGGACGACCACGGCGGGTGCGCGCCGGCGACTCCGGCGGCGGCCGCGGCTGGGATAGGGCACACGGTGCTGAGCGACCTTCCCCGGAGCGAGCTTACCTGCAACGACAATAACGGCGCGGGATACGGATTCGTGCCGAGGAAGAGGGCGCGCCTGGATGCGGATGAGTCGGCCGGGGCGTTGATGGCGGCGGCGGCGGCGCAGCAGCAGCGCATGGTTCTTCCGCCCCATGGCCTTGTCTTTCCCGGGGATGTGCAGAGCAGGGCGGTGGGTTGCGGCGCCGCGTCCACCAGCGGGAGGGCTGGCAATGCCGCCGGCCTCTCGCAGGGGCTCCTGTCTCAGCTCTATCATCAGGGTGTCGAGATCGACGCGCTCGTGCGACTCGAGGTACGGCCTTGTTCGAGATTTTGATCGAGCGTTCGATCGGTTCGCCGTGATGCGCGGGTGTCTGACTCGATCGACGTCTATGTTGGCTATGCAGAGCGAGCGGATGCGTGCGGGGCTCGAGGAGGCTCGCCGGCGTCACGTACGGGCGGTGGTGTCCACCGTCGAGCGCGCCGCGGCCGGGCGTCTCCGTGCCGCGGAGGCCGAGCTCGAGCGCGCGCGGTGCCGCAACATGGAGCTCGAGGAGAGGCTGCGCCAGATGACCGCCGAGGGGCAGGCGTGGCTCAGCGTCGCCAAGAGCCACGAGGCCGTCGCCGCGGGGCTCCGCGCCACCCTGGATCAGCTCCTCCAGTCACCCTGCGCCGCCCTTGCCGTTGCCGGCGCGGCCGGCGCCGGTGGCGCCGAGGGCGACGCCGAGGACGCGCAGTCCTGCTGCTACGAGACCCCGTGCGGTGGCGACAACGCCGGCGCGGATGACGCGGCGTCCAAGACCCCCGCCGCCGCGCTCTGCAAGGCGTGCGGCGCCGGCGAGGCGTCCATGCTGCTGCTCCCGTGCCGGCACCTCTGCCTGTGCCGCGGCTGCGAGGCCGCCGTCGACGCCTGCCCGGTGTGCGCGGCCACCAAGAACGCCTCGCTCCATGTCCTGCTGTCCTGAGAGCCAGCCTGGCCCGCGTCGCGCGTGGCCAAGCTCCTCGTCGTCGTCGTCGTCTTCCCCCAACCTCTCGGCCGCTCTGGCGCGCCACGGCGGCACGGCACGTGCGTCACCCCACCCATGTGATCTTGGCGGACACTGAGCTTTTGTTGCACGCCAGTAGAAGTCACCCACAAAGTTGCATCTAGTTTAGGTTAAATCCTCTTTTGTTATTACCTGTAGGTTTACCTGTCAATGTAATCAGCTAACCCTACTTTGCTGTCCATAACCCTTCACCCCCTTCTACATGATTAGCCCCAACTTTTTTGTGGTAAAGAAAACCCCCGATTGTATTCTCGATGAAATACATGCATGCACCAGGTCTAGCCTTAAAAGAAAAGCAGTGTCGACACTGTACTGTAGCACTCCAATCTTGTGTGTACCTTTTTGGCTGGTTTGCACTATTCCTTTTCCATGTGAAAAGATGCTGCAAGCCGAGAATATTACTGTCGCACAAAAATCTACTCGTACAGCGCCCCGGTGTAGAAGATATCATACTAGTAGTGGTAGCTGCACTGCTGCGGTGCAGCGCCAATGTTGTCATGCCGTGCTTGTGGTTGAGCCGTGATCTTGACTAGTCTTGCGCTGTGTGCCCCCACCCCACGTAAATACTGGGCGCCTCGGCATCGTGTGATCGCATCGGCCGAACCCGGGTGATCCGTATATGCGTGAGGGATTACTTGGGCTGTGTTTAATCCAAAGTTTGATCTAAACTTTAGTCTTTTTTCACATCATCTTCAATTTCAACCAAAATCTAAACTTTACACACTGAAATAAACACAACCTGTTCGTTGTACTGTGCACTGCAGCTGCATGCACGGCCACTGCTTGCCCACAGCGCATAAATGGCATGCAGGTACATGTGGTACAAATCTCTGTCGGTACAAATTTGACTTTGTCCGGAAGCTCCCCATGTGACGGACTCGACGGAAACGGTGGCAAATTTTACCGTGTGGCTAATTCGATCCGTGGTCGCTTTTACTTGTGGTAACAGGGATTATGGTGAGATGTCGAGATTTTGAGAAAGTTTGAGGCCTAGCGATCACGTGTGTGCACGCATGATGCTTGGTCGCGGAACTGAAACGAGCACAAGTGGGTGACTGCGTCGCGTCGCGTCTGATGTGTGCGTGGAACGCCGAACGCGCCTGCCGCGCTGCCAGCGAGAGCGAAAGAGACGAGAGCTGAAAGCAGCATATGGCATCCTTTGTGTGTGCGCGCCTGGGCATGCAACTTTCGTTTTGCAGTTGCAGGCTGTCGTAGTAGTTGCGCGTGAAACGGCAGCAGATGAGGGATTAGATTAGACTAGATTACGGGTAGCAGTTGCCTCCACATGACGAGAAGATAGACTTGTTTGGAGTACTTTTAAGCCTTATCTCTGTCTACGCCTGCCTACTCTCCTCTGCATTACTCGATCTACTAACCTTTCTCTGCCGTCGCTTAAGCCAAGCCCTGGCGTTTTCGGAGAAAGTTACGTGTACTGATCGCACTAGTAGATCAGTGACAAGAGGGGTTTATGTAAATAAAACATGTACGATTCCAGAACTGACGACGGGGATGAGAGGGGTAGAGAGATGGAAAGCGAGACCTTCAAGAACGTCTTTGGAAGTCGGAGCTGGGCTATAGCTTTGCTTCGCTTTGCTAGCTTTTCCATCCTTTGCATTTGCTTTTGCATCTTGTCCCTTGTGATGCGTGACGCATCAAGGCAGCAGCGGCAAGAAACGTTCAACGTATGTACACCTTGGAAACTTGGGACGGGATCGACGCTATCGGCTCGCAAGCTACTCTAGCCGCAGCAGTCGTACACTCCTACTAGTAGGAGTAGCTTTTCGCCCTTTCGGCTACTGCTACGCTAGTCTATGACGTGTATCACGTACTCCTACTGGTCATACACGCTGCTAGTACTACTACTACTAGGAGGAGTAGGAGTAGCTTTCTTCCTATACTTATTTCAAGTCCCTGTTAAATCGGATCAAGTCCCTGTTAAATCGGATGTTTGATATTAATTTGAAGTATTAAAGATACACTAAGACCCTGTTTAGATGGGACTAAAACTTTTAAGTCCCTATCACATCGGATGTTTGGAAATTAATTATAAATATTAAACGTAGACTATTAATAAAACCCATCCATAATCTTGGACTAATTCGCGATACGAATCTATTGAGCCTAATTAATACATGATTAGCCTATGTGATGCTACAGTAAACATTCTCTAATTATAGATTAATTAGGCTTAAAAAATTTGTCACGCGAATTAGGTTTCATTTATGTAATTAGTTTTGTAAGTAGTCTATATTTAATACTCTAAATTAATGTCTAAATAGAGGGACTAAAGTTAAGTCCCTGGATCCAAACACCACCTAATTACAAAACTCATTCTATAACCTTGGACTAATTCGTGAGACGAATCTTTTAAGTCTAATTACGCTATGATTTTGAAAATGTGATGCTACAATAAACTTTTGATAATTATGGATTAATTAGGCTTAAAAAATTCGTCTCACGGATTAGCTCTCATTTATAAAATTAGTTTTTTTATTAGTCTATATTTAATATTCTAAATTAGCGTCTAAACATGAGCTTAAAAAAGTTTTAGCTTATCTCTACGCCGATTTTCGCGCACGACGGGCATTAACTGTGCAGTACGCACCCAGCTCACAACTCGATCGGGTACAGTCATCGAGCAAACGAGATCTTCTGGCCGGCCCGCTCTATTGTTTTTGCCTTCTTTTGTTCGCCTGCACTGAACTTTGTCATCACTGGCCACTGCCTGTGGTTCTCTTTTGCGTACTGCCTTTTGTCGCCGCAGTTGTCACTGGTCACTGCTGTTCTTTCACGTAAACTAATGGAAACTCCCTTTGGCCCCGAATGTGAAAACTGGAGTAAAAATGTGGTTACAAGCCTCTTGCCGAAATTTCCTTTGAAGGATCAGTGCAGTTCCGCTTTTCTTTCTCGCTGAAGTTAACGGATACTCCCACATTATATCATATATTTTCACCAATTCACATGTTTTTGATTGTACCGAAGAATTCCACTAAGTTCCTGCTTTTCCCTACTTTCACGCAGGCCATCTGTGTTCAATTACGTTTTAGGCAGGGTAGTGGATCTCCAACCTGTAAGATATGGACTCACTAATGCGTCCAAGAATCCAGATATAATAGTCCTATCAAAGGAGTAGTCAATTATAAACCCGAGCACTTTGTTGCCTTGTCACCTTTGTAGTTACGCTGAGCAAACACGTGACAATAGATTCGATCTTAAGATATGGTTCCCTCTAGCTTAATCTAACCCAAGTTGCCAGCTCCATCTCCAATGTTATTTTAGTTGCTACTGATACTCTTTCTCTGAAGTGGACCGTATGTTGTTTTATTGGAAGAAAGCCTACAGTGGACTTGGAAAAAAGAAAAGGCATGATGGGAATATGTTATTAGTAGTACAATCTTGTGAAGTCCACATCATTGGAATTTGGATGCACAACACAATTTGCATCTCCCCTAGCTTTACCTAGAGATCACACAATAAAACACCAAACTGTACTACAGAGTACTAAACTAAAGAAGGTGGAGTAGAATAGAATATAGCAGCTATAATTAGCTAGTGCCCATTATGGGAGACTATTATCAGCAGTAGCAACCTTTTGTTAGACAGTGGGATTAATCAGGGATTAGGCACTGATGACAACCTAAAAAGAGGTGTAAAAAAACTTGTGCGGAAGCAACGAATAGAGTACTCTAGTTGGAGGTCGTCCTGAAGAATCCCAGAAATGCAGTGCCTGGAAAAAGAGGTTGTGCACGCTTTTCCCCGCAAAGAAAAGAGGAGGAAAAGTGCTTGGAATGTGGGCCTCGCACAATTCCTTGGTTGGGATTCTTGATGGGCCGTTGAAAAATTTTGCGTGTGCTATCCATCCTATCAAAGCATCCACCTGCGTCGATCCGTGCTTTTTTTGGGGGGTTGCTCTCGTCGAGTCATCGGGACATATTTTCTCCCGTGAAAAAAGAAAAGCTCGTTTGCTTCCTCGTGAAAAAGTCGCCTGCTATTCGCTGGCGATATGGCCGAATTCTAGGCAAGAACACGATCCGCAGGAGCAGAATCGTCCGTGCGCTTTTTTCCCTCTTCCCCTTTTTCCCAGTGATAGAAACCACATGAGATTGTTCTCACGCCAACTTGTGATGATGGCCTCGACGATTCCTTGCGTTTCAACCATGATCATTGCAGCTAAGCTCATGACCATGTTTGGAGAACTAGTCAAGAATTATTTTAAAAGCTATTTTTTAGCACAAGAAAATAGCCCTTCAATAAAATAGCTCTTATTTGTTTGGATCCCAGAGTTATTTTGAGATCTATTCGGCCTTTAATGCAGCTTCCCATGAAGAAAGAGGAAGAGAAAAGACACTTTTTCAGCTCCACCCGAAATAGCTCCAATTAGCACCTCTTGGGTGTAATAGTTTTTTTGGTGGGTTATTTCCAAATAACTCATTCTTTTAGATCCTTTTGGACTATTTGGACTATTTAAGGAAGGGCTAAAAAAAAATATCCTTGTATTCAAACAGGGCCTATAGCGCGAGAGAGGATCGGTCGATCGAGCTTGTCTGGTCGGCCGCGAAAAGCAGCGGCGGCGAGCGAGGCGTGAGTGGCGTTTTTTTTTCTTTTTGTTGCCCCCCTTCACTTTCGGTTTTCACCGGCAGAAATGGCGAATCCGTCTGCGTCCTGGGCGATGATGGCTGATGGATTATCCGATTGGAATCGATCGATCGTGTCGCGGCGGGAAGCGAATTGGCGTAACTTTCATGGGGAGGGGAATCCATGATTGTATTGCTCGATCAGGTGGGGGAAAAAAAGGAAGAGTCTGGGTAATAAATATAAGTGGATCCTTCTCTAAAAAAATAAATATAAGTGGATGGAATCAGAATCATGTTGAGATCTCCAAAGGTGGCGATGGAAAGTGGAATACAGGCATTGGGAAGAGGCTTTGGGAACTTCTGCATGATCACGAGTACGCGCATTCTCTGATTCTAGAAGAATCCCCCCGCTACAGAAATGGATGTCCCAAACACGAAACGCTTCATCCCTAATAAGGGCAGTCCCAACCCATAGTGTCCATAATTAGTGTCTATGGTGCCATATCAATAAGACACACAATAGAAACTACACTCTACAACCCATGGTTTCTTAAAGTGGACCATTAATAAATACATCATCTCTCTTCTTTACCAATCATATTTATTCTTCATCTATTATGAAGACACCATTATCTCCCAATGCAAAACTTGATAGTGTCTAGTGTATAGTTTCTTGTGTTGAAGCTGTGTCTTGCATGAGACCCAGTTTCTTCCTCTCTTCACTCTCTCTCTTAATTAATATAGTGCCACATAAGCTAAAAGTCCTACATGACAATATAGTTAATGCCATAGACACCATCCTAAATGGAGGGTTGTGACTGCCCTAAGACGGTCTCAATAAAAACGTTTTGAGTTTTGCCTAGCATGTGAGTTTGAAACGGTTTCGAGTTCCCTAATTAAACGGTTGCCATTGTGAATTGTGGTTAAATTCTAGAAAACAAAACTATAAACTTCCGACCCTATGCACCAACAAATGATGTATAAAACCATATTTATGTACATTAGGATTTGAACGTTGATAAACTAAGTTACGAAATGTGGTTAATCAACAATATTCGACCATTTGAATACTTCCTCTATTTAATTTTATGAGTCGTTTTCACTTTTTTTCATAGTTAAACTTATTTAGATTTGATTAAATTTATAGAAAAAAAATCAAGCAATATTTTTTTTACACAAAATGAACATATTATCAAAATATATGAAATATTAGTTTGGCTGAAACTAATTTCGTGTTGTAGATGGTGCTAATTTTTTTTTTATAAACTTGGCCAAACTTATAGAGATTTGAGTAGGAAAAAAAAAGTCAAACGACTTATAAGGAGTAGCAATTTTTTTGAACATGTTGACGACCAAATTTGATATTGAGATAAATTAATTTATACTATAACATGTACAATTTTGAGGACCGTCAGTATGGGATCGGTCTGACCAAGCAGACCAATCAGACATGATGGCCGGTTTGATAAATAAACTGCATGGCGGTCTGTGAGCAAGTTTAATAATATAGCCAACTACTAGCTCTAAATCATCTATAACTAATCTAATAGCCCATTTATACAATAGTTAACTATAAAATATACTACACCATTAATATTTGGTCCCACCTCTTATACACATATAACGTATTGGAGTCCGTGTTGTAGCTGGCTACAAATCTGTAGCCCACTTTCTTCTCTCTCTTCTTTTTTCTTCTTGATATGTGGTTATAGCTAGTTTATAGCCTGCTATTGTACCTGCTCTAACTGGCATAGATCGCGTGATATCAGCCGCAGACTTCGTCTCATAGTATAATTAAAGCAATTTCTATATTTTTTAACTTAGGCTCTTAGTCATTTTTTTTGTAAACCATTGGAATGAGGTTTTTTTAGTCATAATTGAGTTCTAAACCACTAGAAGGTGGAGAGGCTCAGTGTTGCAAGCCCAAACCCTTTATAATGGCAACCAATCAACCCACACATAATAAATCGATCGAATTGTTCTTTTTTTTCATACTAGTATATTTTGCTCTAGTTTTAGCCCGAGTTAGTGCATCTTCATTGGTTTATGCTGTAAATCGTCCGTCCTTCATGAATTAGAATCCGTTCATTGTTTTGTTTTGGAAACCTTCCGTTTTATTCACATTTTACCCCAAATTAATCTAAATCGGTCCTGCCAGCCAAGTTAATATCCCCTTGATTAAAAGTCTCTCAAGATTAATACGGTTAGTGACTATGCACGCACCGATTATTTCATTGTCGTCGTGACCAGCGCAAAAAACCATCAACAAAACTTTACTGAATTTTATTTTGAACCGTTACAGATAAAGCCTCCTAAGCATTTCCTCTATTTTATATTATAAGTCGTTTAAGTTTTTTTCTAGTCAAATTTCTTTAAGTTGGACTAAGTTTATAGAAAAATATAGTAGTATTTTTAACACAAAACAAAATATTACCAAAATATATTCTATGTTAGATTTAGTGAAACTAGATTGATATTTGAGATGTTGCTAAAATTTTTCTATAAACTTGATCAAAGTTAACAAGATTTGACTAAAAAAAGATCAAACGTATGAAAAGATGGAGTAGTAGAGATCATTACTAGCTACTCTCGCTCCAAAATAAATGCACTCCTCTAATTTTAGGAGTATATACTCCCTTCGTCCCAAAATATAATAACTTTTGTTTGGATGAGATGTATTCTAGTACTCATCCAAACAAAACTTGATATATTTTAGGATGGAGAAAGTACTTATTTTGGGATGAATGGAGTAGTTTTTTTTTCTACAAGTATTGAGGCATTCATATGCAATTATGCATCGAGCTAACTCACGACGTCCAACGAGTCCGGACAGCACGCCACGAATCAAATGCACAATGATGGTGGATGCAACACGAGTGGGAGTTTTAGGACCAAACTGTGCGCGCCACATACTGCTACTAGCAACGCTCCACTTGCTTGACAAAGCCTGAAGAAAAAAGCGCGTTTCCTGATGTGATCTTTATTTAGGTCTCTCTCTCCCGCATCTTTCATGCCATGACATGCGATGCTATGAATGAGATGAGATGAGAACTCGACATGCATCCAAAGGGAAAAAAAAAGATAAAAAAAAGAGAGGAGAACCGAGAACCTCTCTGTGTCGTGGTGGAGCACACTGCACACCATGACTCGACTCCTCTGACCCCCAAAAAAAAAATGGCAACAAATCCTGCGTTTGAGGCCAAAAGTCGCTGGCTCGCTGCTGCTAAAAGCGAGAGACTGTGTGATCGATCGATAAATATATATCCGTGAGTGTGTCTGAGACGGATCGATCGATCGATCTCATCCCTTCCATGATTCCATGCGTCTTTTTCCAACCTTGTGGATGCTTTCGATCATGCATATGCCCCCACTGAAAAGCTACAGATATCTGAATTACTGAATATATATTGATCGATGCGCCGGAGGGCGGAGAGGTGCATGCCGGCCACACCGGTCACCATCCACCACCACAGGGAAATGAAACCGCATCATATGTATCCATGGTGGTCTTCTTTATCTTTACACATTGCCTTTGGCTAACCTGTGCTGTTTTGCTGCTCGAACCTTTCTATCTACCTACCTATACTACGCAGGCAGCTACTAGCTAGTAGTACTATCAATCTTAGTGAGGGCGATGATGGAGATGTGTGTTGTATCTAGACAGATGAGAATATCATATCAGTGTCACCTTTGTGCTTTGTTGGCATCAGTAGTATGGATAGACGGATCCATTTTGGATGGAAGGAACTCAATTCTTCTCGCTCTCTCCCTTTTTTTCAATTCCTCTATTTGATGATGGAGAGAGTTTTGCAAGGTGAAGCTAAAGGTGTCCACCATGTAGTGTAAAGCTATACAGCTAGCAAGTGGAGGAGGAGGAGGCAAAAGTGTAGAGGGTCCCATGGCCATGGATGGGTTCAAGGATGGATGCCATTGTTGCCGGTGGCAGTGGCTGAGTGGCCCTAGAGCGAGCAGCCGGGACGCCATTGCTGGCCAGTGGGTATAGCTTTGGTCAGCTTCCGGAAAAAAAGGTGCAAAAGCTGTGCATGCATGCGTGCTGCCATTGGTCCGGCCGAGATCTCCTGGCTCCATCTTTTGCTGCTACTGTGTTGACTGAACAAGTTACAAGTGAACAGTGCCTCTTGTCCAGGATTGCAATATCTTTAGCTTCTCTCAACTCACTTTCCCTTTCTGAAAGCTTCACGGTCTCCTAAACGGATAAAACACACACGCATTTGGAGAAGTTTGGCATGAGGCTGCTGTTTGCTGTCCAAATTCCAATGCTGTTAAATAAACCATAAAAATGGAAAAAGAATAGAAACGAAAAAGAGAAGTTGTCAGTAAGAAACTACTAGCGCAAGCATGTTTGCAACTGATGGACCATGACAAACCTGGCACCCATAGGAAGGTAAACCAGGCCCAATTCGCTGAGGTTAACGAAGGTATATGAGTATATCCATGCAAGGAAAAAGCTACACGTACCAAAAAAAAAGTTACAAACTTCTTATTAATGCTGATGTGGCATATTAAGATTGAATCTAGCTTTTCTATAACTTCCAACTAGAATCAAATGGTTGAGAGCTTTGTTAGTAGTAAGAATTTTGTAGGAGTATTGTGGATGTTGCCATTGGCATTCGGCAACTGCACTACTATCTTTCTCTTTACTTTCTGCTTTATTTTCTCCTTCACTTCACCTTTCCGAAAGCTTCAAGGCTTAGGTTAAAAAGCGCACACAAACAATCACAAATTCGAAGTTTAGAACACTTGAAGCCATGAAGGTCACCTGTCGCTGTCGAACGCCATTGATACAAGGAAGATTAACGGAAAACCAGTAAAGGAGCAAGGAGGAGACCATGAGTGTTCCTGTGGTATACGTTTAGGGTCCTTTTCAATTTTCTGTTCATTGAAAATTATGAATTGGATTTACAAGGGTTGATTGGGAAATTGTGAGCTGGAGTAGTTCGCATTGTGTGTTTCACACACTGAAGTTCAAGCGGTCTGACTTGAACCGATTTGTAGCACAAAAAAAAACCGAATTTTGTGATGGATGCACAATGGAAAAAGGCCCATATAAACTACTGTGGGCCGGCATCTGGCCCGTATTGTCACGGCCCATTTCCTCTCTGGTGGTCTCTCTCGTCGTTCCCGAGAGAACAAATTCCAGAAATCTCCATGGGCGATTGCAGGAGAAGAAGCTGAGCAATTCGATTCCTTCCTCCCACTCCCACTCCACGCAGGCTCCGCAGCCAAGATCAAGGCAACGACCGGGAAGAACAAATTCTCGCCTGAAGAAACGAGAGGAAGCAGCAAATCGCCGCCGATTCGCTCGTCGGAATCCCCACCATCCAATCCACCGGCGGCGGGGGGCCCTCACCCTAGGGGAGGGGGTGGGTAGCGCGGCTGGTGGCCGGAACCCTATCCTATCCGATCGGCGTGGGCGAGACCACCTCCTCTTTTTGCCGCCACGCGCGCGGGGCGGCGGCCGTCTGGTTTTGCGGGGCGGATGCCGGTGGGCGCGCGCGCCCACTGGTCTGGCAGGCATCGGCGGCGCCTCGCTCCGCGTGCCCTCGCGCTCCCGGCGGCGGCGGCGGCCGTTCAGCTACTTATGTAGCCGCTTGCTACTAGGGCGCTTTCGTCGCTCGCGTCGTCGCGCGTTGGCTTTGGTTGTGTGGTTTTGAATGGGCCAGATGGTGAGTTCGGCGGAGTGGGTTTCCTGAGATCATATTGTGTGTGCTGTTCTTTACTGATGAGTTTGAGCTTTGTTCTGATTTCCCTGAAATGACAAACGGTGCAGGTTTCGGATGAAAATTTTGAAGAGCAGGCCGCTCGTAATGGTAAATACGCAGGGCTCACATCTTTACCTACCAATTCTCAGTTGCCTAGTTCCTCGTTTCTACTTACAAAGTTACAAAGTTGCACCCTACTATTTCAGTCGATTATCTGAATATCTGATAGAAATGTGGTTTTCTAATGTGGCATTTCCTCGACAGGTGGAATTATCAAGCACGGAAGGGAAATCCTGTTCCAGGTGAAAATCTGTCTAGGCACACCTTTTGCTTTCATGCTATGGATCAAATTTGCCGGAGCTGACAAATTAGATTGTGGAATCACCATATATGTGTTCTGCAAGCACAGAAGGAAACCACATACATACTAGTAGTTTGTCAACTGACTTGTGCAATTATTGCGGAGTTGTTATTTATGTATTGTCATAACTCATAATCCAGGTGGAGTTTGGTAAGGCTTGTTTATCTTCTGGTCTTGTTCTGTAGATCATTGGACTACCTGACTAATGCCTTCCCTAACCCAAAAAAGGAATGAACAATTCTGATTATGTTGTTATTTTCGCTCACTCTGTCAGGCTTTTAACTGGGAATCCCATAAGCACAACTGGTGGAGCAATTTGGAGGAAAAAGTTGTTGACCTAGCACAATCGGGGTTTACATCAGCGTGGCTGCCTCCACCAACACAGTCATTATCTCCAGAAGGTAAGCTAGTCAACAATGTATTGTGTCACTCGTAGCTAGTTACAGAAACAAGTGGTCTGAATATCTGGTCCCTTTATTCTGACAGGCTATCTGCCGCAGAACCTGTACTGCCTCGACTCTTGTTATGGTTCCCTCCATGACCTACAAGCATTGCTTCGGAAAATGAAAGAACACAATGTAAGAGCTATGGCAGATGTTGTTATTAACCATCGAGTTGGGACTACTCAAGGATCGAATGGGATGTATAATCGTTATGATGGTATCCCAGTATCATGGGATGAACATGCTGTTACATCTTGTTCTGGTGGAAAGGTAATCGACTTGTTTTTATGCAATGTAATCCTATTGTTCTCAGCCTCATAATTGCATCGTATCTTAATGGCCATGTTTTGTTAATAAACTATTATCAATGTCTCTACAACTTTATTACCAGGGCAACGAAAGTACCGGTGATAACTTCGATGGGGTTCCCAACATAGACCATACACAGCCATTTGTACGGAAGGATATTATTGACTGGTTGATCTGGCTTCGAGAAAGCATTGGTTTTCAAGATTTCCGCTTTGATTTCACGAAAGGGTAAATAGTCAACTCGATAGGTTAACATCATCTGTGATAGGGGACCTCCAAATTGCTTTGTTAAAACATGCTGATCAGCCACAATTTTCTGTTTAGTGCAGTTATGCAGCGAAGTTTGTGAAAGAATACATTGAGCAATCAAAGCCTCTTTTTGCGGTGGGGGAATACTGGGATAGCTGTGAATATAGCCCCCCTGATTACCGTTTGAACTACAATCAGGGTAAGAGATTTGTAATGACATTGCTACTGATTGCTTATGCCATAGTGATGCTGTATCTAGCCTAAGCGTATGTTCCTTGATTGACAACTGTGAACACTAGCATGCTGATTTTTTTTACTTCTGTAATTTACAGTACTGCCCGTGTGAAGTTTTGTGATTTTTGAATTATTAACCACTGTCATGGTTTCCTCTTTTGTTGCTTTCTACTCCTTGTGCTATTGTCGAGATGAAGCAAGGGACTTAGATATCTTTTGTGAATGCATGACAGTTACATTAGATTGAGTCTGTGTAGTTAGCATATGGTTTAGACCATATACAAATTTCGAAACAGTTTTCTCAACCATGAAAAATGCTCCTTGCTTTACTTTGATATGGACATTTGGCGTATATTTTTTTTCCATAAACTGAACAATTATTTTTTAGCAGATAAACACAGGCAGAGAATTATCAATTGGATGGATAGCACTGGAGGACTTTGTGCTGCATTTGATTTCACAACAAAGGGTATTCTTCAGGTTAGAAATAGAAAATTGTTCTATTCCTTTTTTGGGGTAAATGTCTACAGGTTAGTTTGATCAGTTTACTGTTGTTTTCAGGAAGCTGTCAAAGGTGAGTTGTGGCGTTTGCGTGACCCTGAAGGAAAGCCGCCTGGTGTCATGGGCTGGTGGCCTTCGAGATCAGTCACATTTGTTGAAAATCATGACACAGGATCCACTCAGGTATAACAATTACTTTATCTTCCTTCTATGCTCAAGATAAGCTTAACCGTGCTAATATTTGCTTGGAAATGGTGAAGATGGGCTAGCAAACAGAACTAATTAAATTCTCATGATTGCAGGGTCATTGGCCATTCCCATCTGATCATATCATGGAGGTATGTTGTAAGAATTTTGATTGCTTCATTTATGACTTGTACCCTGCGATTGAATTACAAAACTAATTACCATTACGATGATGACTATGTTCTTATAAAGGTTGATGTACATTGTAACGGCCATGGCAACATAGAACAGCCCCTATAAAAACAACTTGATGTCAATAGGAAAAGCTTTTAACTCAGTTCGTTAATCTTGGAGATATGCGCTTATATTGATACTGGAATATATATATTTTATGATCAGGCATTCTTGGCCTCATTCTTTTGTGTTCGAACATGTTGATAAACATATGGTATCTCAGGGATATGCTTATATACTTACTCATCCTGGCATCCCCACGGTGTTCTACGATCATTTCTATGGCAAAGATGATTCCTTCCATGGTGGAATTGCAAAACTGGTATTGTCCTGAATCCTTAGTGCTCAATTGCATATCTTTGGCAGCTGCCAGCACTAAGTTTCAAATGTTCTGTACTCAGATGGAGATCAGGAAATGCCAGGACATACATAGCCGCTCCGCAGTCAAAATCTTGGAGGCCAGCTCAGATCTGTACTCTGCAATCGTTGACGATAAGTTGTGCATGAAGATCGGGGACGGCTCCTGGTGCCCGAGCGGCCCAGAGTGGAAGCTGGCGGCCTCTGGTGACAGATATGCTGTTTGGCACAAGTAGATATACCAACATATAGCATTTCTTTCTGCTGAACATGAGATATGCTATTTCTTCAGAGCCCGAACTGTATATGCTAGTACCATGGTAATTTAATCATCTTCAATGCAATACCAGAGAGCAAACCACTTGCAATTTATCACATGCTCACAGCAGATAGTGTAAACTGTAATGCGAAGTGTAAACTGTAATGTGAATACGTATACTGTAATGCTTGTGTGCATATAGGAATAAGAGAGTGTTTATTTATAGAAAGCATTCTTGGAGGTTGAATTCTCTTTCTTTTTGAACTTCTTGCATGTGCCTTTTTTATCATCTGCATATATTTGAGTGCCTTTGCAGAATTTCATCATCTGCAGGCTGACCGCCTTCACTGGACCTGGAAATCTTCCATGGGAAGGAGGACTCCGCTTCCTTCCATCAGAAGACGCAGATTAAACTGGCATTCTTGCACAGAAACCCCTACATTTATCACACATTTAACCCATTGTTTTCTAATATTTACAATCAGATCCCTTGAGTGAGTCAATAGTCGATTCTGTTTCAGAAAGAGAAGAAAACTTGAATTCTTGAAGTGCTCGTATGGAAATAAATGGCGGGAAAAATACATAAATTCAGGACCCAATTCCCGCCCTCGCCGTCATCTCCTCCTCCCCTCCCTTCCCATGGAGGCGGAGCCGCCGCCGGAGAACCGCCACGACGACCACCACCCCTCCACTTCCGGCGGAGGCCTGGGCTACTTCCACCTCCGCCTCCTCTGCCCCGCCGCGCCACTCCTCCTCCTCCTCCGCTCCGACCGCCTCTACTCCCTCTCCCTCTCCCGCCGCCGCGGCCCCCGCCTCCGCCTCCTCGCCTCCCCTCGCCGCCGCCACGGCCGGCGACGGCGGGCCCTCCTCCTCAGCACATCGGGCTGCGCCCTCCGCCTCACCCACCGCTCCTCCAGCGCCGACGCCGTGCGCGTCAACGGCCGGCCCCTCCTCCGCGGTGGGTGCCCGGCCGATCTGGCCGTCGGCGACGAGGTCTCGCTACTCCGCCGTGGCACCAGGTATGGATTCTTGGTGGAGAAATTCGTCTCCTGCGAACGGCCCAAATTGGCGGCGGCGGAGCCCTGCGGGGAGGTTCTTGTGCTGCGGGCCGAGTCGCTCCGGAAGCGGCTGAGGGCGATCTCGGAGAGTCATGATCCTCTCTCTTTCTTGAGGGATTCACATTGTGTGGAGAACGGCAGCGATGATGTTAGGGTGAAAAAGGCGAGAGAAGAAGATGTTTTCTTGCCCCTGAACCTGAATGCTCCAATTGACCCTGTTGCCGTGGAGGGTTTACTGCGAGAAGACTGTAATCTTGGCCAGGGGAAATTGGAGCACTGCACTGATTCAGCAATTGCAAAAAATGAAACTGATGAATTGATTCAACGGAGCAAGGGGTCCTGCGATGGCAATACAGAGCAGAAGGAATACAGCAATGAGAACACAGAGCAGCAGCACAATGAGAATGAGGGTTGCTATTCAGATGGGAGCACATTCTTCCTGAATCGCCTCATTGGTATTGGGTCTGATATGAGGGTGGAGCAACGGAGTGGAGTGACACTTCCACAGCTTCTGCATCCCATGGATAGCTTGGAGCGAGTATTTATCGCAACATTCACCTCCGATGTTTCCTGGTGCGTCTTCTCTCTGCTTGTATATCTTCCTTTGCTTGCAACATTGAGAGATATATGATTGAATTATTGATGGGAATACAAATTTGTGTATGGCCTAAGGTTTCTGGATTACTGTAAGGTTCCACAGAACCTGCCGGTGACGATAGCATGCCACAACAAGGAGAGGTGCTGGAGTGCGAGTCGCGAAAGTAGAACCGCTGCCCCTTTCGGAAGTTATCCTAACCTACTATTAGTGTAAGTAGCAACCTTGTGTTTTGTTCAGTAGTTGTCTGTATATATATCTCATGCTTCTGCGAAACATGCATGATAATGAAACACTGATGCTAATGTTAATTTTCCCCTCAAGTTACCCCCAATTCCCAGAGGAGATAGCATTTGGAAAGGATAGGAAGAAGCAAGGAGTGGCATGCCACCATCCAAAGCTCTTAGTGCTACAGAGGAAAGACAGCATGCGTGTCATTGTCACTTCAGCTAACTTAGTACCTAGGCAGGTCGGTATCTTTCTGTACTCCATGAATGTGCTTGTTACTAGAATTCAGTTCGCACCTAGGCAGGTTCTGCATTTCTGATGCACTCTTTAATTGTTTGTTCTGTTTGTGGTGATTTCTGCTGTTATTCTCGGTGAAAGTAAATTATGCTTTGTGCAGTGGCATCTCATAACAAACACGGTGTGGTGGCAAGATTTCCCTTGTAGGACATCCACAGATTATTCAGCTCTTTTTAGTAAAGTTGAGGAATCAAAATCAGATTTCGCTACTCAATTAGTTTCATTCATAGCATTCCTTATCAATGAAGTTCCTAGCCAATCATATTGGATAAATGAGATAGCCAAGTATAATTTTGAAGGAGCTGCTGGATACCTCATTGCTTCCGTTCCAGGGATATATGCACGCAATCCTCACTATCTGGAGTCCAATTATTGCCTTTCAGTAAGTCTTATTTCAGATAGCATTTGTTGTTCCCTCCTTTTACTGAAGCCATTTCACTAAGCATCTTAACATACTAAGTTACTAACTATAATTTGCAAAGATTATCAGGCAAATATACTATGGCTAAGTGGATTATATTCCTAATCTAAACTAGACACTACTGCTGTTCTTTCTTGAAATAGTTCTAATCCAGCCCTATTATCTTACTAGCCACTATCCATTATTTATGCAGAGAAAACAGATATTACACACCAAATCGGCACATAGGATGTTTCTTGGTTCTGTCCAAACATCCGTAGTTGGTCTGTCCCATCGGTTTCATATACCATCTGATGCTGGTTCTAAACTGAAAGCCCTGTCTGTACTTCTTAGTAAATGCCATGTGAACATGCATGGAACTACAGAAGTGATCTTGAAGAGGAATACAAATATACCTGCAGATGCTAATGCTGTGAGTGTCCTAGTTGCTGATCTGGATAAATTTACCGAGGAAGGTATGTACTATGTACACCTCAAGGTTTACATCTTTTGCTAAACAAACTCACCTCCAAAAATATTGTGTTGCATGGTTCATGTGGCAAACAAATACTTGGGATTTTCTGTTATGGTAGCAAATAACCATGTCCAATGCCCTGAAATAGATTCAGTCCATCTTGGTTTCCTGCCTAGAGAGGTTGCAAAGTGGGTATCTCCCCTCAGTGACTTGGGGTTCTTCACATTTTCTGGATTTATCTACCCCAGAGAAGCCCTGGAAGCTGCATATGGAGCAACTAACACAAAAGTGCAGTTGCTTCTCTATGTATCAAAGGTATGTAAAAGATTCTTACGGATGCCTTTTCATAAGTCAAGAGTACTACTGTGAAATTGTCCATGCATATCTTACAGTCATAAAATTCAGGGTCCAGAGTTTTCTCAAATTTCAAGACTGATCCAGGATGAACATTTTCCTCTTCTGTGCTCATTAGTAGCATCCTTAAAGCGGTCCCTTGGACTTTGGCGATTAGAAGAGGTTTGCAATTTTATATGGGCAATATATGACCTTGATTTGATAAATTATGCTATGCGTAAACTGAATTACAGTTCTTTGAGATGATTATTCTACCATATTATTTGTTTTTTTTTTTGACTAAATCACCGGGGGGGGAGAGATTCCCCACCTGAATTTGTCATTGCATTAAGAGGAAATAAGTTCATTACAATAAATTGAGAGATTGTAAGGGGGAGGAGAAAATTTGTTTCCAAACAGATATTACATAACGATCTTCATCCTTTAAGTTCTCCGCCCAAAGAGCTGCCTCGCTTATGCAACGTTGCAGGCAGGATCAGATGGAGGGGCTTTTCTCGCTGAAAACGACGTCATGTCGGTGGTTCCAAATAGCCCACATGCAAAGCAGGAAGAAAACCTGGCAGTGAAGCGCCGGCACTCTTGAACTTGGGCCCAAACGATGGAAGTGCCTAACGTCTTGAACTTGCGGTTGAACGTTAATCATCGCCCAGAAAGCTTGAGCGAACGGACATGAAAAGCACATATGATTAGCTGTTTCTTCCTCCTGATTGCAGATGTCACATTTTCCGTCCTGAACAATGGTTTTCTTCAGCAAATTTCCCTTTGTGGACAGACGATTGCGGACTAGTAACCATGCGAAAAGTTTAACTTTGAGAGGAGCTCTGCAATTCCAAATTAGTTCCCAATTAGGCGAATGCAAACCAGGGGGCAGTCGTGCCTCATAGAATTTTTTTGTTGTTAACCTCCCTAGCTTTGTACTGAGCCTGAAAAAAAAAGACCACTAGCAGTAGTTTGAAGGTGATTGGGATAATCCAAATTCATACTAATTGCTAGCTCTATTGTGAGATAATCCATACCGCCTGTTCTATTTACTTGCATTAATCGAGTGTCAACTGTATTTTCCATTGGTTCAAACAGGTGTTGTCACATTTCAAATGGCCTGAAACACTTGAGACTGATTTTTTCTACAGTGAGTAAAACATTTTTTTTTCTTAGCTGGAATCAATTGTCATATTCAGGGATTCCTTACTTCAGATTTAAAATATTTGTAGGTGCTTCATCCATTGGGACTTCAATTAATCCACAATTCATTGCAAGCTTTGCTTCAGCAGCTGGTAAACGATGTAATCAGGATTTGGACTCCGAAGAGTCTGATCCAGAGGTAAATTTTAACTGTTTATTGAAGCATCCCCTATTCTAATAAACCCCTGCCCTTTTTTGACCAATTCTTCACGCACATAACTTTTACCAATTTTCATTGGTTGTCCTAGTGGGGTTGCTGGACAGCAAACCATGAGCTAAAGAAGCCATCTATCAATTTGTTGTTTCCAACAATTGACAGAGTGAAAAATGGGGCTTGTGGAATTCAGTTATCCAGGCATTTGCTTTCTCTTCCTGAGGTAGATTTCTCTTCTTGTAACTTACTATTTGCATATTTTACCAATAAGAGAGATCATATTGTATGTGCGTTATACTTGATGTGCTTGTAAGGTTGTAGCCAAGTCTTCTTTTCCATTTTGTGCCTAAAGCTGCATACTATCCTTGTGTGCTTTAGTTCAGTGAATTAAGATGTTATGCATATCGGGATAAGCAACTATATTGATCTGTTTAGAGAAGCGACGTTAAGCATATTGCTAATTCAGGGGATACATTCACAGCTGCTGTGTTGCAGTGGGAGTAACTCTTTCCTTTTGGCAGAGAACATGGCAAAGACTGAGATCTACTGGCATATTTCGTGACGCAATCCCACATCCATACGAGAGGATAGGGCATCCTATGCATGTCAAGGTACGATGTTATACATATCTTGGGGGAATATCATGGTTTATACTTTGCAACATTGTTTAGTGACATGTTAAATCATGAGTTCATGACAGGTTGCCCAGAGACGCTTCGAGTCTCGTCTAGGCAGACACTCATTCGGCTGGACTTACTGTGGGTCTCACAATTTCAGTCCAGCAGCCTGGGGACAACAACTTCCTCCACCAAAAGCAAATCCTACTGAAGCCAGAGCCGTTTCTTCTGGTCCGAGGCTACACATTTGCAACTATGAGCTCGGCATCATCCTCATTATTCCACCATCTGCCATGTCAAAGCAGATCAGTGGAAGGAGGCACGAGATCAATGACATTGTCCTGCCATTCGTCGTCCCTCCACCGCAATATAAGCTGGGCGATAGGCCTGCGACATCGTTAGCCATGCGAGAGGCCATGGCTGAAGCTAGAATTCTGCAGAGTAACGATTTAGTACTGGACTTGTCACAGGATACAGACGAGGATATACCTGATGAAGATGATGAGCATGTGATTGAGCTGTCTGATTGCTCCCCTGAAGAGAAGGAAGAGGAGAAGATCTACGCAGAGACGCTGTGGGAGCAAGTAGACTCTTCACAAAGACCAGGCTGGCCAGTGAAGTTGAAGTCCAGATGTTTCGGATGACAAGTTCCTGTCATCGCATCTGATTTCAAGTGCAGGCAGCCGCACGAGATCTGACGATTCTTTCTTACTGAAGATATTTGATTCGATTGTGATTTGTTAGAATTGTATTTTACAATGTGTAGTATGCATTCGTTGTCAATCTTTCTTGTAAGTATCTCAATACATCTATACTTGAACTTCACAGCGTATATAGTTGAAGTTTATTTCAAAAACTTTTATTGAGCTCTAATCTGAAATTCTGAATCAGTCTGCTAGTGCTAGGGGGTACATGTTTTACACCACAGAAGAATCACAACCGTCCAAACAGTTCTGGACGGTGTGGATGCTTCGCCTGGAACTTGTGTTCACCACCCCAAAAAAATAAAAATAAAATCCACCGTGTCAATCCCCACGCCACACCAGAGGCCACACGCCACAGCCACAGGAAACACACAAGCAGGCGACGTGGCAGCCAGAGAGGGGCTAAGCCTCCAACCCCACACTCACAGCCGCGCGCCGCAGGAAAAAGGTGGAAAACCACCGCCCACGCGGGACGCGCCGCCGCCGCCGCTCGCCGCCGCACCCTCACGCGCAGAGGAGGAGCCCCCCCGCCGGAGCACCTCCACCTGTTTACTCTGAGTGACATGTCCCCCTCGCCGCTGCTCGCCCGGCCGCCGGCGCCGTCGAGCCCGAGCACGTACCCGTCCCTCCCGCCTCGCCGGTGCGCCCCGGCTGTAGCTTCCGCGGCGCTCCGCGTGGCTCCAGCCACCGCCTCCCGAGCCCCATTCTCCAGGTAACCCCCCCACCTTCTCCCTCTGTCTCCTTGTTCACTGGCTCACTGCGAAATTTGGGCTAGAGTTTACAGTGACGCGGGTTTCTCTTTGATGCCGCAGGCTGGTGACCAAGCGGAATTTCGCTGCGTCTGATATTAGAGAAGACTACTCCACTCCGATTGACGTCGTTGCCGATGTGAAAACCGAGAAGGCATGAACCTGAGCAGCTGAAATTCTATATCTTGCTTGTTAGGTAGTGCCGTTTTACTCCCTCCCCCAACATTCTGAAGCGTTTCTCGATGTCTTGCAGATTGTGGTGTTGGGAGGGAGTGGATTCGTTGGCTCTGCTATCTGCAAAGCTGCTGTCTCTAAGGGTATTGAGGTTGTGAGCCTCAGCAGGTACCACAACCTTTTCTCGTATACCTTGAACCAATCACCATATGTTGTGTAGGTCATCACTACTGAGAAATGCAATTTTTTTCATCATGTTCCTATATGTTTCCAATAGCTTCCAGTCTAGTCTTATTACCTCACATTTCGCACCTTAGCTTGCTTATTTTCGTAATCGGATCAACCAACTTGGTCTCGCAGTGTTAACTTTCTGAAGGTCTTTCTTGCATGACTTCTTGACTCTTGGGTAGGCTGTCCAGTGTGAGCTCCTAAAGTCTTCATACTCAGCACAAACCATAGTTTTGTATACACATTTTTTATTGAGGGTATGATTATTGGCATCAGGGGGGTTAGACAAAGCTTTGAAAATTGGTGTGAGTCCGAGAAAAAAAAGAGAACATGTATATACTATATATCTGACTACCAAATCTGCGTTCTGTCACATTTGCTTCACAGTGTGTGTTCATGGCAGGTCAGGGAGACCATCTTACTCTGATCCTTGGGTTGATCAAGTTACTTGGCTAGCAGGTATGCTTTAGTTATGTAAATCTTCTGGGTTACTGGATCCAGCTTACTAACATAAGTTCACTCTCCAAGCCTAGTAGTGTTTTGTTGTTGATCGAAACTGGATATGCTACATGTCATGATGCTTTGACCTGCAAATAATGGCTTTATCAAGTAGATTATAGCGCAACTTACAGGAAGAATGCCAATCACCAGATTTTATCCAGAGATAATACTTTTACAGAAATATGTACATTATGTGTAACAGAATCTGTGGTACTTTACTAACTTTATGATTACGCCATTCTTTTTACCTTTCGCTTTGTTGGCCGATGGCATGTCTACAGTATTTCTTTCTGCTTGTTGCTGAGTTCTGATAGATGCATATATTGTTTGTTTGGAAACAACTCTGCACCTAAGTACTTATCATTGCCTCTTTGTTTTGGCCATGATTACTGGATTTAACATTATTCTCACAGAGACCAAACTTGATTTATGGCCTCAGTAATTCCACCTTACCATCTTGTTCCTGTGACTTAGTCAGATGACTATATTGGATTTCCAAGAGTGTGATTTATATACTGTGTTTATTTTTTGCTGCTCTGTTCATTTAAGCATCTTACTATGTTGCAGGAGATGTTTTCTATGCAAGATGGGATGAAGTGTTAGTTGGTGCCACTGCTGTTGTGTCTACCCTTGGAGGATTCGGTAATGAAGAACAGATGAAAAGGATAAACGGTGAGGCAAATGTAACAGCAGTAGATGCTGCAAAAGAATTTGGTAAGTACCGCATTATGACAGTGGTGTGCCAATTTGTTTGCATATGCATATGACATCAGGTGCATATTATGCAATTCCATGCTTAACCTAAGTTTCTTTGAGCAGTCACACTGAAAGATACTCTTTCCTTCGAATTTTATAAGGAGAAATTTTACAGTCATTGATAAAGTACCTCGAGGTACCTAAATTCTACTCTAATTTTTTTAGTAACTTGAAGTACTAAGTAATTGGAGATACCAAATTCTACACTAGAAAATGTAGTACCTCCTGGTACGTTTTCAGTGATAGTAAAATTACCCTTTTTTGAGGGTTCTTTGTTTTGCAATCATCTGCAAATTATAATCTGTTCATGTATTTTGTTGCTATTCTCTTCTACTATTATTTATTTCGTTCTGTTCTGTAAAAAAATACCAGGACTAACCACATAAAAGATTGTCTTATTTTTCGAAAGAACCTAATGATACATTAGTCATTCTCTTCTATAATCTTCTCAATCTCACAAATTTCTTAATCTATGCATGGGTCAAATCAGAAAATATGCCTTGTAAAAATTGACTGAAGGGTGTAAAAATTGACTGAAGGGGTAGTATATTGTGCTGTATGATGCAAATCAAACCAACTGGATTTTTTAACTCAAAATATTCACTCAAATGCTCTGATAAGTACCACACTTGACAACTCACTGTAATGTGTCTACGAGGTGTCAACAAATCAAAATGAATTACTCTATGTTGGTACTATCATTATGAGAATCTAGAGAGAAAATTGCAGCAAATGTACCCACCCTATTATAAAGTATAGGCTCCTACTTTTACTTAGTTTTGCAATTTACCAAGTTTCTAATTACTGTAAAGCTGACACATGCTTTGATTTTATTGTAGTTTAAATTATATAAATTTGTAAGCCTGAAACTTGAAGGTAGTCTGGCACGCGTTGTGAAATAAATGAATTTTGCTAGGAAATTTGTTGTACTGATTACTATGACAGATTAAATACCTCAAACAGCTGGAACTTATCCCTCGTACAACTGTGCCACTGTCTCGTTAACCTACTCTTTCCTTTTTTATTGAAACGGATAAAATAATGTAACATAGCTTCTTTGGTGTATTCTTCTGCAGGAATCCCCAAATTCATTTTAATTTCTGTTCATGATTACAATCTTCCATCCTTTCTTCTTAACTCGGGTTACTTCACTGGTAAGAGAAAGGCTGAATCTGAAGTCCTCTCCAAATACCCAACCTCAGGTTAGACTATATTTATGCCTCCAAAAAAACTCACTTTACATTTTTGTCATGTTTCTAATCTATATTTTTTTAATCAGGTGTTGTACTGAGGCCTGGTTTCATTTATGGTAAAAGGAAAGTAGATGGTTTTGAGATACCACTCGATGTTGTAGGACAACCATTAGAAAAGCTACTTTCCTCTGTTGAAAATTTCACAAAACCGCTGAGTTCATTGCCAGCTTCTGACTTACTCCTTGCACCCCCAGTGAGTGTGGATGATGTTGCCTATGCTGTGATCAATGGAGTTATAGATGACAGCTTCTTTGGTGTCTTCACGATTGAGCAAATCAAGGAAGCCGCGGCGAAAGTAAGAGTGTAAACTGGGAGTCTTTATTGCCAAGATGGAAGATTCAAACATGCGGCTCCTTATTAAGAGATATCCCTGTTCTGTCTTGCACTCTTGCAGTCTTAGATCATACATTCAATGGTTAAAGTTAAATTCAAAACTTTGTACAGTGTATGAATGTGGTGCTTGTTCCCTCCAAGCAGAGAGGAAGAATGGGCTTTGATGGCAAAGGCCAATGCGCTTCATTTCTTACGAGATGCATTGCCAAATGAATGTTCTTCTGGAGTACTTGTTTAAGGTGGAAGTAATCACTGATTCTCTGAACCTAACCCCGTATTCAGGTTGACACCATATCCATATGCTCATATGCTTAACATGGACAGTAAAAAAAAATTTAGATAGGTTTTGTGTTACGAGTGCCCCTAGATATGGTGTTCTATGATTTTTTTAGATAGGTTTTGTGTTAAGTGTGAGTGAACTTGTTAACTTATCACTCGACTGTGCCGAGTGCTCTTCTGAGCAACAAGCACAACTAAATATACACATGTAATTAAATGAAAAATACTCAAACAAGCACCATGTAACAAATGCTGTTGATTTTTTTTGGTCATTTCAATGATACACCAATGTTACATGTTCATGTGATAGATCAATTTGGTCCTAAAATGTAAACCGTTGGAATTTGTCCTGTGCAGCAGTCAAGGCTGCGTAAGTAGATCCACTGAATTTTCACCATAAAATCCATCTTTATTCACTTGCACTGTTGCACATGTAACATAGACATAGGCTAGTACGGCTTGAGGCAGTCAAAGAGACGGTGACCCACCGTCTCGGCAGCTTCCGCCGCCGTCGCGCTCGCCGTCGGTGACCCGACTGTGGTCGACGGCCCGCCGGTCAGTGTCAGGCACTGCGCCGGCACTCTCGGGCTCTCCCGGGGCTCCGGCGCCGGCGGAGACACGCCGGCGAGCGCCTGCTCCATCTGCAGCTGCTTCCTCCTCTGCTCCCTCCTCACCTCGTTGCGCTTGTTCACGTAGTCCTCGTGGATGAATACCTCCATCCTCTCCCAGAACTCTACCAAAACTAACTACTACAAAGTACAAACTAACCTCGAAACCGAAAGAAACTTCACATTAGATCGACAGTACTTGACACAAACTCAGATGAAGAAGTGAGAGTTACACTGAAGAAAACTGCATGTTTATATGGGTGTCAAAGAGAGGAGGAGGTCGCCATCATCGGTCGCTTTAACCTTTAACCATTTTTACAAAGCGCAGCCTGCTATTAGTCTATGCCAACGCTGCAAAAAAAAAAAAAGCCTGTATTATTATGGCATGGCCGAATTGCTTCATGCTTGGTGGAGAAATGGTTAAAAGAGAGGACTTCACAATGCCAATTCCTATGGCCATTCCTTGGTCTTTTGTGTTATAGAATGCTTGCTGTCCTTTGTCTGTTGCTCCTGTGATGGTGTGGTTTTAGGTTTAATTAAGACATCGTTGTCATGAGTGATGTGTTAAAACTCAGGGATTCGTGGTGTACATGGGTAGGTGAATAGGACAAACGGTGTGTTCCAGGTTGGACCAACCTATAGCTCTCCCGGTCACTATCCCTGCAAAAGAAAACAGGTAGCTGCTTGCTTGCGGCGACATGGAATTGGTGGATCAGGATTCAGGAATCACAAAATTGATACCAGAGATCTGTGAAATTTGTTATGTGTGATGTGACCAAGATTCATCATCCACCACATGATATCTTCTTCAGATTGCCACATGGCCTTCTTCAGATTTGGTATGCTACTTGATTGGTAGTACTTGCAACTTTGCAAGTCCTCCATTTGTTCTGGGAGTGGCCTTTCCATGGATCATCTCCACATATCTATAATATCTTCAGATTAATAACAAGAGAAAACAGGCAATCCCACACCATGGCTCATACTTGGATTGCTAACAGTTTTTTTTTTTTTAAAAAAAACAAGGAACAATTATAACAACATGAGCTAATGAAAGCTTCAGACTATTCCATTCTGCTCTTCTGATTGTAATGCCACAGAAGAGCATCAGTGTTTAAGTCATGTGCAAAATTATGACAAACAAATTTGCCGTCCACCTTTTGATCTAACAAAAGGGCTGGTCACTCCCAAAACTCCAGATGGATATATACACATCATTTCGTTTATTAACTATCACACGAGATTCCTAAAACACATTCATATGCGAACATCCGCAAAACTTTTTACCAGTTGATAAGCTTGTTGCATGAATTCTGCATCTTCAGAGTGAAGTTGACGCTGTCATTGTCCTTTGAGCATTTCCAAGGATGATAACAATGATGGTAACATCATCGTGGTACTTTCTCCTGCTCCCAACAGGTATCCTCATCAATTCTTCAGCTGTTAAAGCTGGCACAACATAGGAAGAACAAAAGGTGAAGAGTTAGTTAAGTCCCTGATATCAACATAACTCCAAAAATGGAGCAATGATGCTAATTATGCAAAATATAAAAATCATCAAAGGTGTAATTTCTTTCAAAAGAGATTATTAACTGTCCCTGCATCTACAAGATACTATAGAGCTTAATTAATTAAGTCTAAGGGTGTAATAATATGGAATATGCATTTCAGCGCAAAAGAATCTTAATGCTAACTATTTCATATTTTAATACTAAAATTATAAAACTGATAATATATTTCGGATGATACCTGCTTCCTTCGCTGCTTTAAGTAAAAGTTGCTCAATGAGATACTTTGCAGGATCACCAATTGGATTATCATGCATAAATTGATAAACCAACTGAACAACTTCGTCATTGCTGAAGAAATCAAATAAGCCATCACTACCAAGCACAACAAACAAATCATCCTCTGTGACTTTATGACTAACTGTGTGAGGATTTGTGTACACATAAGGCGGGCTGCACAAATTACGAACTCGGAGAATTCCCATGAGTGCATCGTTCAACTTCTTCTGCAAATTGACATGTAAAGCATGTGTATTAGTAAAATCATAAGAACAGAGATGCATTAATGCTCTTTCTTCCCAAACAAAATTATAGTACGTTACCTGTTTTAGATAGCCAACTCCAAAAGCACGAGTAACCTTCAGCTTCCCCTTTATTTTGTTACCCATCACAACTGATGGCTCATTAGGATGATCAGCTAAAAGTTTTTGGTACTCCAATGGATTTTCAAGTGAGTGGATCTCAGTCAATTGAACAGCCTTCAATTTATCCATTCCTGAAGACGGCACTGAAGCAAGCACAGCTCTACTATCCCCAAGATTTAAGATGCACAAATCTGTTCCATGTAGAAGCACAACCAGAACACAAGACCCAACTGATACTAAATCTGGTCTATCGTCCATCTCTTGTTCAACCATGCATAAAAAGTCATTTTCAGCTTGCTCAACAGCAGTAGTGAGGCACTTAAGCACACCAGCTCGAAATGTTTCAGAAAATTTCACATCTTCATTTTCTGCAAATCTCATGGCCAGTGTTAACTCACTTTTAACACCATTAAGAGAGCCCTCTGGTGAACCATATAGACCATTTTCTTGTTTAATCCGGCACTCTAACAAATATAGGTAATATACTATATTATCATATAAAGTTACTGCCAAAAAGTCAGCTGCATCTCGTCCATTAAATCCATCATATATTCCACAAATCAACCATCCATTCTTCTCAGAGCACACAGCTTGGACTCTATCCTCTCCAGCAGCTCCACCAGCCATTTTTATCTCTGTACTTGTCAGAAAATTGGATGAGACAGTAGTTGGGGCACTGGACCTCCAGATATTTTTACTGATTTCAAATATAGAGCTCTCAGTCGATACAGGGCTGCCTTGTGAGGTGGATAACAAGTCCAATCTTGACATTGATGGGGATGAAACAATTTTTCTGAAAGAATTAGGAGAGTCTAGTTCTGGTAAAATTTCTTCCCCGATAAGACCCTTGCAAATGTTTGTATTGGCCAGCGTGAAATTGGCACTAATCGCAGCACCAGACAAACAAGTGAAGGATCCATTTTGTGATGTCATCATGGTATTAGTTTCAAGCCTCTTGTTGGGAGAGATGTCATACTCATCAGTGTCTAGAGAAAAACACTGATAAGAATTACAATGGTATCCAAAGCTGACGTTGAGATTGCTATAACTCCTGACAAGCATGTCTTCTTCCTCAGAACTGATGCTGTGATCATTGGAGCTCTTATCAAACAGTTCCTCATCCACCATCTTTTTCAACAGAAGTATAACACCGATTGTAGTGTATATTGCTGTCAAACTATGCTTTGAAGGTTTAAATGCTACTTAAAGCCCATGCCAAATACAGGTCCTTTTATACTTAAATGGAAACGCAAACCAGACCTGCAATTTTAACACAAAGCATTATTTATATAAGTACGGTCTGAGCATGGTTGAACTGTAGAGAATAAAGACGGCAAAGCGTTGCCAAACAAAGAAATATTTCATCAAAATTTATAGTTTCTTTAGAGTACCCTATAATGGATATGAGCCATCCATTACTTTTGATCTAATGGATCAGATTCAATTATACAGGGGTAAAGTTAGAATTGGTCGAATGACTTCCTCCATAATGTATTCTAGCTTTCTAGTCCAACGTGATAGAGTTGTGTACAGGAGGTGTAATTGATAGGTATGTGAACAAGATTGCTTCTCGAATCTTTGATGAATAACATGGTTTCCGTCAACTGCCCCTGAGCATAATACTATTAGTCCTTAGTTTGACTATCCTTCCATCCAAAATATAAGCAGGGAAGGAATCGATGAGACGCCCCAGTAGTTTGACATTTGCAACTGGTAATATTATCCCCTAAATTTTTACATGACTGCAACAACAATTTTAGATTAATTATACAAGACTGTACCTTGTTAAATATAGACGGCATCATTTTATACATATCAGAATTTTATTTTCATAAGCTACCAAACATGGCAGGCACAGTTTGCAAAGTTCTTGAAAAATGAGGACACAACCCACATAACATAAATTTCAATGAGATCTACTCTTAAAATTTTCTTGTCTCCCACCACCAAATCAATCAAGAACTTCATCAGGAAACAGAAACTAAGGAACCACATACGGCAACAGAACTCGAGCGGAGGGATTAGAGACAGATTAGGCCGGTAGCAACAACCTGAAGTAAGAAGGGGTTGCTTCTGTTCAAGGAGTGATCCCGCATACGACAGGGCCAGGCAGGTCGATGAACTTCACCACAGCGGCTATGACCAGTGTTCCCACAGAAACTAATCTTCTTGGCGTTCACCTACACACAACACCCCCCGAACAACACAGATAAGAGAAGAAAGAAGAAACAGATAGAAGAGAATCAACAAGAAGGAACATGCGCACAGCGCAGACGATACGATTACTCACAGATGCATCCATCAAGTTCAGAGCGATGGGAATCGGGCCAGTTGACGCAGCCCCTCCTTTCCCCCCATCCCTGAAAACCCCAACCCCAACCAGCGAAGGAAAAAAAAACAAGACTAAATTTTTACCCAAAAAGCTCCCTTCTTTCTTTAGCCGCCCGCCGACCTGCGCAGCGCACAACACGGATCAACAAGAAGCAGCACGCGAAATAGGGAAGATCACTAGAACAGGTCGCGCACCCCCTGCAACAGAACGCAAAAACCAGACGAAACCTGAGCGCGATTCGCTTACCTAAAAAAAAACCCGGTTCGTTTTTTTTCTCTTCTCGGTTGCAAACTGCAGATATCAGCTCGCGGGCCAAAGAACAAGGAAGAGCAGAAGCTGAGAGGCGGAGGAGGAGGAGGAAGTGGCGGGTAGATGCAGACGGGACGGGTGTGGAGTGGAGAATGGGAGAAATTGAGAGGAAGGTGTGGGCTTGCGGGGAATATATCGAGGAGGTGGTGGCTCAGCTCAGCTGGTCTGGTGGAAAAGAGAGAGAGAGAAGCAACAGATTCATTCTCCCTTTCCCTCCTCTTTTTTCTATTTTCGCGGACCGGATAGGCTTAGAATCTAACCGCGTCGCTCGCTCTCCACATCGGAGTGGTAGTTAACCATCGCAGCGACACAGGAGGATTGGGGCGCGGCGGCGGCGGATGAGGAGAGATCGCGTTCTCCTTTTTACTTATTTTTTTCACTTTAACCTTGGGGTGAAAATTTACGTGGGTACTCAGTTGATAGGTGGGTTCGCTATATTTTAACTTTTAAGGGTATATATGTACTTTTTTTTTGTTATTATAGGATCCATAATACAAACTCCAATTGATATCATAATATAAATTAAATATCATAAGAGCCGACACGTAGATTATCAGTTCTGAAATATAAAATATACTAAGAAAGTAAGAAGTGGTTTTTATTGTAGGTAGGTTTTTGTGTAGTATTATCCTATATGGCAGGTTGAGATTACTAGTACGAGTGTCTCTATTGTACGTGCCCTAAAGTAGCTTCCTTTTTCAGTTTTTTCCAGTCATAAAAAACACACCACGAGTTATGATAAGGAAGATACATGACTCATTGATCAAAAATTTGCTTGAGAAGATCAGGTCAGATGACGAGAAGTTGCAATTGTGACACCTAAGTACCTAACTAGAGGTGGAGGAACGTTATGTGTTCAAGCCTCGATGGGTGCATGACACTAGGAATAGAACAAACATAAGCTAGATTGATCTATGATAGATTTTCTATTGGTTCTTATGTGCTTTTGCCCCCTCTGGTTAAATAATACTCCATCCGTACTCGTAAAGGAAGTCGTTTAGGACAGCGACACGGTCTCCAAAACATAAATTTGACTTCTTTTTTCTATAAAAATATTTATTGAAAAGTGATATATGTATACTTTTATGAAAGTATTTTTCAAGACAAATCTATTCGTATAATTTTTATATTTTCAAACTCACAACTCGAGAGTTATTCATGATTTATATTCCCAAGGTTTGACTTAAACATTATCCTAAACGACTTCCTTTATGAGTACGGAGGGAGTAGTACCTAAGCAAGTGAGTTAGGATTCAAAACTCAATTTGTTTGGCATATGTGACTAGTCACCAGGATTCACCAAACAATTTTAGGTGGGGTTATCGCTACCCCACCGTAAGACGGTTATCACGGTAACCGTGCGGTTACCGTGAGGGTTAACATGGTTTCAAAAACTTGCCCCTTGCCTCTTGCTACACGTTTTTGCAAACCCTGTTAGCCACTTGCCCCTTCCAGTCGATGGGGGTTGATGGTGTCACCACGATCAATAACCTTAAGATTAACAAAAATGTATTGTTCATGTTGAGCTTAAACCATCTCTAATAAATTTGTACCTAAAAAGTGGTCGAAAACCTAACTTTTTGTAGATTTATGCTAAAGGTCAAACGCATTAACACTGTGGATATGCGGGGGCCTCTATATTGAGCTGATGTGGTACTATATGAATCTAGAGCATTTAGAATAGTCCACTTAGTCCACTATGGATTATTGACCAAGCAATTATTCTTATTCATGTATGAGGAGATCGATATAATACATTCACATCTCTATCTATTTAGTAGAAATATAGATAAATATATTTATTATTATTTCTTCATGTTTAGGATTTAACACGGTTTCCGAAATACATTGAAATGTTTAGCGATAAATATTATAATACCATTTTTCACGTAGGAAATATCAATATATATTTTGGCATGTATTAATATTTAATAGTACTTTAAGGCCTGCTCGGCCCTTCTAAAAAGTTGCATCCAATTTTAAATTTTGCTACAATTTAGGGTTTATTTATTCTAGCTTTATTTTCACGATTGCTAAGAAAAAGACCTATAAAACAAGACTAGCTATTCACGAAAATTACATTTAAAAAATGTTCTTTTTATGAAAAAAGCAGCACCAAGCGGTGCCTACTTTCATAGTATTTGAGGGGAGTAGCTCGCATAAACTGATAAACATCTCTGTTTCTTAAGTTATACCGCATGGAGTCCATGTTACTGTCATCATGTAGCTATTCCACCTGTTCCAATCGGCAGCAACCAACTATTGAAATGGGACTGTCCTTTCTTTGTTTCGCCCCATGTAATTAACTACGAGTCTGTGGCCACAGCCGATCAGCCAATGGCACCAGTCCGTGTCACAAACCTTCGCTTTCTTAAAGGGAAATTATAGGATAAGCATCAATGCATGGCCGCTGCAGAATTTAGTATATTGGTGAGATGTGGCGAGCAGCAGATGCGATGAACTAACCGGAGTGAGCTCGAATCACGAGAGGCATCGAAAACGATCCCCACGAATATCAGACGGCCATGGCGATCGACAGCCACATATGCTGATGTTAGGTAGTTCTACAGTACTCTCCTATGATAGTTGGCCATTCATTATTATATTTGTTTTGGGTTGTTTGTATGGATCAGAATAGATGATCGCTGACGAAAATGCAGATTGTTTTTGGTACTAGTAGCGTGCTGACCTCGTGGTCTCTCATGCCGTACGAACTGGAGTAGTACTGTAGAGGATTAGCCTGCAGACTTGCGGGTGTCATCTGTGATCTATCTACTCAAACAGCATGTGAGCCGTCTGATATAAAAAAAAAGGAGGGAACTGTGATGTTAGCACGAGTTCATATACATATAGTTCTCCCATGTACTCCCTCCGTTCCATAATATAGCAAAAAATTGGGTAGGTGCAACAAATCCTAGTATAATAAATATGAACAGACCATCTGTACATATTCATTGTACTAGGATATATCACATCCACCCAAAATCCTTTATATTATGGGACGGAGAGAGTATATGGTCCCTCGGCTATAGCATAAGTTCAGTTTTTCTAGTTTCAAATGTGAATTGTTGAGACTGGAATAAAATCACATCAACACATTAATTTTTCAAAACTGGATAAAGTCAAACCTTTTGATGGTGATTCGTGGTGGTTCGAGTTTTTTTTTTCATTTCATCTTGCTTGTTGAATCATCTTGTAAGATCGCTGCAAAGTAATTTTTGTAAGCATTACTAGCTACTCCCTCCGTTTCAAAATATAAAGGATTTTGGACGGATAGAACACTTTTTATTACTATGAATCTGGACATGGAGCACATCTAAATTCGTAGTATTATAAAGTATCATATCCATCCAAAGTCTCTTATATTTTTTGATGGAGGGAGTATGTGACAACACTTTCACCAAAGTACTCCGAATCTGTGATAATTGAAGGGGTGTATTTTGTCAACTTTTTCTCAGCAAACAGAAAACATTTGAAATCACTGTCCTGTACAGTTATGACAAAGCTAGAGCATGGTTTGTTTGTTTGTTTGTAATTTCTGCACAACAGTCATGTCCAGAACTAGAACATGGCATAATATAATGCAAATAACGAAAATTAGGAATAAATAAGTGATGAACGAAATGCATAATAGTTACATCCGATTATCATTCAATAACATGATCAAGAATATAGAATTATACTACTATTAAATAGTAGTAGAATTCTTATTTGACCTTATTAATTAAGGGCATACAATTAAAGTGCTCCAGTTCATTTTTTATATATACTAAATTGATGATCCATTAAAAGAATTGAAAATGATGAATCATATATGTGTGAGAGGGATAGTTTTGTTTGGCAAAGAAAACTAGCAAGGTGGTCGTGCAGATCGTGTGGCTAACATTTTCTCATATAATGGTAAGTATGTTTTTTTCACACGTAATTGCGAAAGAAAAAAAATATTGCAAGTGGTAATATAGTTTTGTGTTCTGCCACAACTTGAGAAAACTTTTACATCTGTTACTCTGATTAGCAGGGTAATTCCTAATTTCCTATGCACACAAAGTAAACATGATGACTCTGTTTAGTATTTTCTTAACATTATAAAAACATGATGGTATATTTGCTTCTCTCCTTTCCTCCATCTTCCTCTCCCATTTTATTTCTCAATAAAAGTAAATCATGTCTCGAGAAAGAAAAATGGAAGAAAAAAAGAAAAAAATGTCTAAAATTCTAAAATGACTTATATTTAGAAAAGGGTGAATAGCTAATTTAGTCCCTCAAGTTTTACCGAAGACTCAATTTGATTCTTCAGGTTTCATTTTGTCCACATAGGTAATCTAAGTATTTGTTTTGGATCAAAATCATCCTTGGGTCCACTTAATATGCCATATGGCTATTTCTAGTCAACAATTCTGTTAGAAAATATCCCTTTTGCCTTTAATTTGCATGCAACACTAGAAAAAAGAAAACCAAAATGAATAAACAACATTGCATATATACTTCCAATTATTTCAACATGTGCACATGAAACTTAAGCCTAATGGCTATCATATACACTTGCAAGTACATAATTTATTTTTGTTTGACATAAATTGCTATGAATTATCTATAAAAAGAATTCATTGCATGCAATTTTTTCTCTTATATATGTGAATGAGGGGGTATAACTGTCATTTATTTTGGTTACGTGGGTTCAAGGATAAATTTGAATTAAAACAAAAACTTGAAGTACTAATATGGATAGATTGAAACATTAAGAACTAAACCGATTCTTACATGAAATTTAGATGACCACTTTAGCTATTCACCCTTTAGAAAATATCTCTGAAGGCTAAATGTTTTCAAAATGGAGGGAGTATTGTTGAGTGTTTATAGGCAGTGCATATAATGTTTTATCATTAGGTGACGTGGATAGAATTAAGTACTTTAAGACAGCTGGAGATAGTCGTATTTGTACTTGTACATGTCCTGAGCAATTCGTCGTGACACATGCATATACAAATTAAATCGTGATCGTCAGGTTGACCTAGCTGATCATTACCTACATTGTGCATGCAACTGTCACAAATTATTGATCAACACCAAGTCATAATTTGAAAGCGATCCAGGGTGTGGGGCCTGTGGGGGGCTTGAAGGCCATTATGAATTCAATCGGCCAATAATTCTTGGCGTCATTAGCAAAACAATTTAGCATTTTTCAA